TCCGCGTCCTCCGGGTAGGCGTGGCGGCGTCGGGAGAGATGATTTATCCCTCGCGCGAGGCGCAGTAACTGCCGAGATCGCCGGCTAAACGACCACGCCGGTCCTTTTCCTGTATTAACCGTAATGCACTCTGCCTTGCTATTGTGTACACTGTATACGACCCCGTACTCTCTTCCCCTCACCCCGTCACGACGTTGCCGATCCGTTCTCTCCTTTTACCCCCCTTCCGCCCCTCTGAGCCTTCTTCGATCCCCCTTCGGTCACCCCGTCGACCTCTCGTTTCCTTCCATCGTCCTCTCCTCGTCGTTTCCTTCCGCTTCTTGTTAGCGCTTAATATATCAGTAATATTAATTTAATTTTATAATGTGCACGTGTTATAATGTCTACTGTGAATAAATTTAAAATATGTTTATTTGTATTGTTAAAAAAAAGAAACTTGTACGTGAATAATGAATGGACGTGCACGGAGAAAAATACTATAGCTACTTTATCCACATATTTTAGAGTTGGAAAGGAAATATATGTAATTTCAAGTGGAATAGATAAGGCATTAAAGATTGCTGTTATTACCTGCCCATCTATCAGTTCTCACAGCCATAGTTCTTATGATATATAATATTCAGTTAGTACATCCTCGTATATGTATATAGTTGCCTCAACCAAAGGAATATTGTTGTCTTTTTGTTATGATCTACAGAATATTATGACTAAGAAGTCCGTAGAGTTTGATTGCACCACACAGCACTGAGAGTACTGCTCAAACACATATAAATAGATAGTAAAGAAGGTTAATGTACCACTTCCATAGTACCATGGTTACTACAACCATCTTATATCTTACAACTATCTTTTACATGGGCAAAAGGTAATATTAATATTTTGTTGTGGCAGCGATATTTAATGATATCCTTAATGTTTTCTTTGTGTGTAGAAAACACAGAGCAAGGATTTGACAATACTCCCTTTGACGGAGATGACAACCAAAGGTAGAAATAAAAATGAGCAAAAAACAAATTAGCTTATGTTAATAATTGATATATGTTAATAATGCAGAACTCTCTTCATTGCAATAAAAAGACGCAGATTGTTTTGATAATAATACAAAGGAAAACTGTCACAGTAGCACGAACTTAGAACATGATGAAACAGTACAATTACAAGAATGAGTAAAAGAATATGTGTCATTCGATGGTTATGAAGAATGAAAGATGGTTATGTCACGCAAAAAACGAGAAACATGAAAATATATATTACGTACACTGAGGGTTATAATAGTACTAATATGAGAGTACTATGAGTACTAATAGTTGATCTAAAATTATAGTACAAATAAATTATTATTATTTACTAATAATACTAATAGATTATTATTATGAGTACTAATAGTTGATCTAACTAAAATTATATTTGTTCGAAAATGATAATATTAACGTGCATATAAAATTATTATCACTAACGTTATAGTAAAATTTAATGAAAAAATAGTTTTCTTTATCATAATTTGCAGTATATATTTTTCTGTGATAATAGTTACAAATACAAAGCTTTTTTCTCAGTGCAGCAAAGATTTCCTTCAGTACGACTTTTATTAGTATTAAAATTTTTCAATTGGAAAGCATGTACAAAAAATGCAATACTATTATAAAATGGGCTGACTTAATTATTAAGCAATTGAATAGTTTCTTATTCATTTTTTATTCTATTTTCGTTCAGTTCTCAAACGGATTCAAATCTTTTATGTACGGAAAAGCGTTGATTCTTAATTGGAATACTAAATAAAACTACTATTTTTATTTCCTTAGTTTAACAGAAGTTAACGTAACTGTCCAGTAGCGCTGTGCAGTTCGCAAAAAACTTTAAATTTCTAATAGGATTCTACAAAAATACAAAACATCAGCGAATTGACTGTGTATGTTAATATTAACGAAATAAAATTGTTGATCTAAATTTCAATACCCACAGATTGACGTTACTATGGCGATTCTTCAATCATTGACTAATATACCGTGCAGGCATACCGATCGGGAATCTAAAGATAAGCGTATCTTTCATAAGTTATGAAGGTGAGAAGGTGAAACGCAATTTCTGTTAATTTCCACCATCAGCCGCAATTCTGCAAGGAAATTAATTAGAGGGTAAGGAAAGAACAGAGGAATATATAATTGATAATATATCAGAGGAATATATAAAATGATAATTGCATAATGATTATCAATACGTCTTAAAAAGTAACGATTTAAGGTTATGTCGTGAAGTTTAATCTCTCTGGCTGTGGCAATTATATGTTCTCCTTACTTACCCAAGACTGAGGAAGCCACCTGTCTCATCGATTATGCCTTGCCGAGAGAAGCGTTCGACGATCAAATGCTTCCAACGCAGCTTCCGTCTCGAGAATCACGGCTGGTTCCGAGTCAAAGGAGGCTAAATCGAATTAGCCGGCTGACACATTGGCGCGTTTTGCATCGTACTACAGTTGCAGTGATCGACCGACCGAACCCGGCATATGGGGTCACGCCTACGAGGTGAGCGAAGGGGCCCCGATTTCGGTTGTGGATCCCTTTCAGTGCTCCCGGGGTCCGCACGCGCCGCATAGCCTGCGAAAGTGCGCAGTCCGCCGGCTCAAAACGACGAGGTGATCCCATGGGAGCACCCAACGATGAGTCGATCCGGCAGGGCCGAGCACCCCCCAAGCACCGCAACAAAATTGTCAAAACAAGCCCGCGATTAGCGATCTCGGTCTCGATCGACCTTTCAGCTCAAGCTGGAAAGTCGATGAACAAAGCTGGGAACGTGCGAATGTGAAATCGAGGACAGATCAGGTAGCGCTACTCTCTTAACCCTACAGTCATCGCATAGGATCTTTAAGTTAAGAATATATCTAAAATAGTCTTTTCTTATATTTTACATGAACCCAAAAACCTAATTAAACAAAAAAAAATATTTAAGTTCTTAACATAAAAGATATAAAATAATTTTTTATATTAGAATCTCTCAAGATCCGATGCGTCGACTCGTGTTCGAAAAGTAGCGCGACGACGTAGGGTTAAAGTGAATCAGTGGAACATCACTGAAAGCAGTAAAAATAAACTAATTTGCAGCTATAAGTATAGCACTGAAATTGTTCAGTGCTATACTTATAACTGATATCAGTGACTATTCACTGATTCACTTTAAGAGAGTAGGGATTTGAAATACTAGTAATTTCAAACTCGTCGTGTGTTGCGGTAAAGGCGGTAAGTGTCTCGTATACTGAGAGAAAAAATATCTAAGAAAAAGTAAATGCTTACTCAATGGGCATCAATAACATATTTATTCACATATAGTAATATAAAATATTTTTCAAATAAGAAAATATATATTTTCTTAGAAAACCTTAGCTTTTTTTACAAAAACAGCCATTTATTCTATTTAAATAAAAGAATTTAGATTTAAGTAAACGTGTCACACACACATTAATATGCACCAAATAAATATTTACTATTTTTGGAGTATCTTTTTCTCTCAGTGTAGTAAGTAGAGAGACATATTTTCGAAGTTGGACACGAGCCAGCTTGTAACTTCGCTGTTTAGTTCCGAAGTTTTGCCTTCCAATTTAATCATCCCCGACTACCATCTTTGATTTTGTCGCGTTAACAGAATGCGACACATATAAATATTTTCCTCGTTCCTTGTAAATATTTTCAGGTATAGTGAGGCCAAGTTAGATATCATTTTCCATTGTCTACCCGCCTGGGTCGTAGTCGCGGCTCTGCTATAAGATGGATATAGGTATACGGGAGACGAACGATATTTCGGATTACAGCCGCACGTTTTATTGCCGACACGATATTACAACGTATGCAAGTCTATAGCCCGACATTTTGTGCGCTTCCGCCTCGCTGCAGCGTTTCGCCGTTGTAATGCAGCTGCGATGATCGCACGATTGATCGATACGCGATATCGCCGCCACGTTGTTCGCCGAGCTGAAACCCACTGCTTAATGTAAACTATCTACAGGTACGAGTTCTACGGTGTTTATGCAGCGTTACACTATCTACGTGTGTACGTGTACGTATGTATTTACAAACTGCTAGGACTCGCTATTTACAATGCGCCATGTGAGATCGGCACTCCCGCGTCGAGAGGGGATCGAGCGCTCGAAAACACGACCACACCGAAGTGGCCTCCGCGTGCTCGGCAAATTGAAATCGATGCGATAAAACCGATAGAGAGCGAAGGGATAAAGGATTTGGTACGTCTCGAAATAACCGCTGAAAATTGCACAAGAGCCAAAATAGCCAAGACGAAAATTCAACGCTGTGGTCGAAGGAAGCAATTGTCTGATTAATTATCACGAAGGAGATCGGACGTTTTCACAAAAACTCGGAAAAGTACTGATCTGCGTACTCGATGAGACCGAAATACCACGTGACAAAATTCATGGATGTTGATGTAACACACTTTGCGAGTAAAGCAATCAATTAAAAGAAAACGAACATACATATACATACGTGCACATGAAAATATATATAACGAAAAAAATATATATTCATTTTTCATAATTTTCTTTACTCGCGAAGTTTGTTGTATTAACATCCATGAATTTTATCACGTAATATATTCCGGCCTCATATATATATATATATATATATATATATATATATATATATATATATATA